TCTCTGTGGGGCATACCAGGAGCGGCGGTCCGGTAGGTACGAGGGTCCTAGGCCGTATAGGGCTTTAAAGGTTAAAACCAGCACCTTAAACCTGATCCTGTACTCCACCGGGAGCCAGTGCAGCTGGTATAGCACCGGGTGAATGTGATCTCGCAGCGAAGACCCCGTAAGGAGTCTCGCTGCAGCATTCTGCACCTGCTGGAGTTTCTGGGTCAGTCTCAAGGGCAGCCCCACGTAGAGCGAGTTACAATAATCCAGTCTGGAGGTGACCGTCGCGTGGATCACAGTGGCTAGGTCAGGGCGAGAGAGGTAAGGAGCCAACTGCTTAGCTTGGCGGAGATGGAAAAATGCTGCCTTTGTGGTAGCTGCAATCTGCGCCTCCATGGAAAGGGAGGTGTCGAAGATTACACCCAAACTCTTAACGGACGGTGCTGGCACTAATTGCGCCCCCGCAAGAGATGGGAGTTGCTCCCCCCCATCCCATATCGTCCCGTCCCAGCCACAGGACCTCTGTCTTCGAAGGATTTAGCCTGAATTCTGTGCTTTCATGTCTCCTATAGGAGAGATCAGCACTACCAAAGCTGACACTGCTGAGGACATGGCTGGTGCTGTAAATGCAATCCCAGACCAGTTTACAGCCCTGTGTTTTGCTCCAGGTGCTACTAAAAAGATAATATAGACAGCACTCCATTTGTATATGCTTGCATGAAATCCAACATATAAATGCCTATCTCCACTTCATCTTAGAATAATGGAATCAAAGAGCAGTGGCAGCGGCGCGGCAGCAGCAGGAGGCCCCATTAGCTAAAGTGGTGCTTCAGGTTAAGAACAGATTCAGGTTAAGAACGGACCTCCGGAACGAATTAAGTACTTAACCCGAGCTACCACCGTACCTAAAACAAGTGAAGGAGAGTCCACCACCTCCTAAGGCAACCCGCCATACTGTCAAACAGCTCACACGGTCAGGAAGCCTCTCCTAATGTGTAGCCAGAATCAGCTTCCTTGCAGGTTCCACTCATTGGTTTTAGTCCTGCCATCCAGAGCAAAGGAAGACTAGTCTGCCCCATTTTCTTCAGATTTGTGAAGACTGCTCAAAAAGTACAGCCATTGGTATGGCCCAAACACCTGCATCAGTTCATTCAGTCAAATAACCTTTAACCTCATCATTAATCTTCTGGATGCCTTGTTATTGACTACTAGCCATGGTTACTCTTAGGTAATACTGTTAAAGGTAATAAAGGGCTTTCGCAACTGGTGCTTCTTGCTTGCTAGAGTAAAGTAATTTTATTACAGCAGCTTTATGGCCCTCGGTAAACAGGTGGAGCTAGGAATGCAATTCTGTGTCAAGCTCCAGAAAGTTAAAGGAAGAAACAATAAATGTTCAGGATTCAGCTGCAAAAATCCACAACAGCTGCTGACCACAAGCTGATAAAAAGGTAGCCATGTTTACGAGGTCATCTGGGTGTATTCTGTAGCTGAGTTTTTGTCATAGGGATTTCTCCGTTTTATGACAAGTTCCTGTTGTCAATGAACTCAGCTCCGGTTGGAAAGCCTTTATTTGGACTGCAAAAATACTTACATGGAATGAAACTAGTATGAAACTGCAGCATGATAGATGATAGATAGATAGATAGATAGATAGATAGATAGATAGATAGATGCCATCCTCACATTGTTGCAAAGTCACTCTGGACTCCTTTGCTTTTATAAACAGGTATTAACTTATTTCATGGGTATGCAATTGCCCTTTCATCCACAATGGAGGTGGTCATTGAAGCCTGCTGTGGGGTCTGCTGCTCTTGTGTGCTGCTTCTGATTCAACTGTTATCAGATTCTAGGAATCAGAATGTGGAACTAAAAAAAATGAAACAAGAAATTGTATGTCAAGGATTCCTGGTGTTTCATATGCATTGCACTGTTATCACCTTTGATTGCTTAAGGGAAGCTGTGGGGAACAATGTGCTCCTCCAGAAGTTGCTGAACTACAACTCCCACCAACCCCAGCAAGCATAGCTAGTGGCCAGGGATAAGGATTATCATTCAGCAACACCTGGACGGTGAAAGGGTCCCCCTGTTTAAGGGGAATGAAGCAACATGAGACACTACAGTCCTGACAACCACTAATGCCACCAGTTGTGGACATGCACTGAGAACGCCAGCATCAGATAATCAAGTATAGCCATCCTGGGTGCAGAAAAGTGGGGTGTCTAATAAATGAATTATGAGATCCTCATGAAGTTGGGGCACAGGCAAGACGGCAGATGATTCACTCACAGATCAGTGTGCCCTTTGTCCAATCTGATCCAGGGAGATCATCAGATGATATGTTACACCAGCGATGGGGAACTTCAGGCCCAGGGACAAAATGCAGCTCTCTGGGCCCAGCTCTTGAGACTCTCCCTAGGCCTCACCCCCTCCCCAGACCATTTTCCTCTCCAGCCCTGCTTTGTGCCCTCCTTGGGTGCTCTTCCTGGCTGGGATGAGTCCATGAACTTCAATAATGCTTCTTCCTGGTCTGGAGGGAAGATGGACAGAGGTGCACAAGTGTTTAAAAACCTCTGACTTTTGACAGGAGCATTGCCCATTGTACAGAGTCACATCTATTGCTCCACCCACTTTTGCCTTTGACTCTGCCCACTTTAGACTCAGACTCCACTCTGAAAGGTTGCCCACAAGGGTATGGCAGCCTTGGGATGAGAAAAGTTCCCCACCACAGTGTGAAAACAAAACAAAAAGAGTTACAGAAGATTTTTAAAAAAACAGTTAAAACAACTGCATAAGTGAGATTCTTCATGAGCTTTATTGTTGGGGGCTTATATTCTGCCTTTTCCCCAGGGCACACAGGTCTTTACACAATATGAGATCACAGAGAAGGGGCTATTGCAACTGAAGTCTTCCATGCCCTTCAAGGTCACTTCAGGAGCTAATGGCAAGTCCAAAGCAGTCATACTCTTTTCACACTGCTTTACTGATAAATTGTCATGTTCTTTGGCCAGCAGCAACAGAGCCATGGTGTTAGAGAAGCAGTATTGTTAGTTCCTCAAGAAGCCCTTTTATAAAAACAGCAATATAGATAAAGTGTCAAAGGTAAGTACACAAATTATAGGGCTGAACACCTTGGCACTACAATCCACAGAAATGGAAAACTTCACCTCTCAGTGACCCATGAAGAGCAAAAGTAAACTATCAAAGGTGTGCCTTTTTCTTGTTTTTATGGACCAAATCTGCGTTGCTACAGAAACAGATATATTTCCATCAAAACTTGGATACCTTCATGGGACTTTTCCACCAACGTCATGATCCACCCTGCAGGTTATCTACTCTTTTGCTCAGTACTACTGGATGGACAGCAGAATGAATGAACTCTGGGGGCACTCTGACATATGCTTGAACCCTCCTGGTTCCTCCCATGATTAAGGTGAACTTCTGTAGCAGGAAGCATTGTTCATCCATGGAGGATCCCCGTGTGACAGAGAATCCACAGCATGATCACATGGATTGGCCTGATGACTAGAGTCATGAAGTGGCAGGTAATAACCATCTGGGTTGGTTATTATGGGTAAATTTCAGCTTCTGCAGCCTGATGGTATGGATGAGCTCCTTGGAAATTTGTGGCCTATGACTTGAACTCTGGAAACTTTTCTGTCCTAAATCTTCCAGGGCTGGGCTGGGGACATTGCCCTCAGAGCTGGTAAGAGCTTCTCTAATACAGAAGAAGCTCCTGCCACCCTTAAGGAGGCAGTAATGCCTCCTTAACAAAACAAAACTACCGTATTTTTCGTTCTATAGGGCGCACCGGCCCATAGGACGCACCTCGTTTTTTGGGGGGGGGAATGAATAAAAAAAATTATTCCCCCCCCCCCGCCGCGGCTGCCGCCCCAAGCCTTGTGCACACCTGCAAGAAGCACGGGGCACCCTCCGGAGGGCTCCGCGTGCTTCGGGCTGCAGGCTACCGCCCCAAGCCTCGCGCGCTCGGCGGGACCTCCTGCCGGGCGCGCAAGGCTTGCAGACACTCGCCCGAAGCACGGGGAGCCCTCCGGAGGGCTCCCCGTGCTTCGGGCGACAGGCTGCCGCCCCAAGCCTCGCACGCTCGGCGGGACCTCCTGCCGGGCGCGCAAGGCTTGCGGACACTCGCCGGGGCTGCAGGCTGCTGCCTGCAAGCCTTGTGAGCCCGCGGGAACTCCCACCGGGCTTGCAAGGCTTGCGGATAGCTTCCTGAAGCCTGGAGAGCGAGAGGGGTCGGTGCGCACCGATGCCTCTCACTCTCCAGGCTTCAGCGAAAGCCTGCATTCGCCCCATAGGACGCACACACATTTCCCCTTCATTTTTGGAGGGGAAAAAGTGCGTCCTATGGAGCGAAAAATATGGTAGTTTGGACCCTATCATATATAAAAATTACCTTCTGTAACAGTGGTTCCCAATTGGTGGTCCACATAACCCATCCAGAAGGTCCATGGCACCATTCACATAACAAAAACTACCAAAGAGATATCAAAATCTTCAAAAGTAGGGGGTCCATAACTTTTGAAAAGCGGGGGGCCCACAGTACTGAGCTAACCGGGAACAATTGTTCTATAAAAACCCATTATTTGGCAAGATGATGGATTTGATGGGAGCCTCAAATCCATGAGGTCTTGGGAGGCAATATTTTGATTTCAGGATGAAATCAATCATGATCTTTCTGGCTGAAAGGTGTGAGGAACCTTTGGCCCTCCAAATGTTAAGAAAATAAGAACCTAATTGCTGGAGGGGGTGCGTGGTCAAATGTATGTATTTTCATATGTGGTGGTTTTGCGACATCATCAAACCTTTCAGGAGTGCTATCTTCAAACAAATAAGCTTGATATATGACAAAGCAATTGAAATGTCTCTTGACAGTTGCCAACCAAACATCTATGGGAAGCACACAAGGAGGATCTGAGCACAACAGACTCTCTCCCCTCCTGAAGTTTCCAGCAAATGATATTTAGAAGCATACTGGCTACAAACTAAAAAAATTCCTTCCAGTAGCACCTTAGAGACCAACTAAGTTTGTTTTTGGTGTGAGCTTTCATGTGCATACACACTACAAAAGCTCATACCAATTACAAACTTAGTTGGTCTCTAAGGAGCTACTGGAAGAAATTTTTTAATTTTGTTTCGACCACAGCAGACCAACACGGCTACCTACCTGTGGCTACTGTGGGGGTAGAACATATCTATCAGGGTTAGTAGTCACTGATATCATTATCCCCTATGAATTTGCATAATTCTCTTATTTTTATTTACTTCCTTTATTTTTTAAAAAAATTGTAGTGCTCCAACAGAGCCATCCTAAAGTGGTGTACAGGAGACCCAATACATTAAAACTAAAAATGAGTTGAAACTGTAAAATCAGAATACAGCCGTACCTTGGTTGTCAAACGCCTTGCGACTCGAAGGTTTTGGCTCCTGAATGCTGCAAACCCAGAAGTGAGTGTTTCGGTTTGCGAACGTTCTTTGGAACCCGAACGTCCGATGTTGCTTCCATGGTTTCCGATTGAGTACAGGTAACTCCTGCAGCCAGTCAGTAGCTGCGCCTTGGTTTTCCAACGTTTTCAGAAGTCGAACGGACTTCCAGAACAGATTCCATTTGAGAACCAAGGTACGACTGAACCACTAAAAAGCCTGCCAAAATAAAGTCTTCAGTAAATGCCAGATGTTCAACAGGAAGGGAACCTCTCTGACCTCAACTGGAACTACCACCAATTTGGACCCATAACACTGAATGCCTGGCTCCTTGTTGGTAACGAGCCATGCATCTGAGTCATGGAGTGCCACTAACAGTGACTCCTACAGAGACCTCCATGACCAAGCTGTGATATAAGTGATCATGTGGTCCCAGTGGTATCCTTTTTTTAAAAAAATAATTTTTATTAACCGACCAATCAAATCACATCACATAAGTTCCGAATTACAAAGCCGAATTTTATATTTTTTGTTGAGGGGACCCATATTTCAAGTTCCGAAGGGGGATTCCAATCATCTTCTTGCTGCTGCGTTAATATCCACAAATCTGTCCAAATAATATTCATAATTCTATCCAGTCCTATCTTGCTGTTCTCACGTCTCATCTTGTTCGTATATTTTTCTTTTTTCTTTATGATCTCTTCTGATAATCTCCTTAAGCAGGTAAACACCAGTTATAATCCTGTGTGAATTTTCCATTCATCCAATCATCATGTCGAGATGGTATCCATATATCATCACTTTCATAAATAAAAGCACTCTTTCCATCATCAGTCTCGCTATTCTGTCACCTTCTTAAGTCCCTCTGAGGAGGCTCACTCACGGTATGAAAACAAAACTATTCCTCCTCCCAGACCTAAGTCTTTCAACAGAACTTGCCAAAATGGCAACGCTATTTTTTGCTGCGTCATTCCAAAGCTCTTATACTTTCCACAGTCTCCTTAAAACATGCTTTGGTTAGAAAATTATCTCCACACAGTCTTAAATCCTCAGCTTAAGTCATTTAAACGGCATTTCTGACTTGTGACTTGTGGGGGGGGGGATTATTGGTTAATCACATAGAGAAAAGAAAGGAAAGTTTTTCCCCTCCCCCATCCAGTCTCGTTGCCAAACATACCGAGCCTTGGTTGTCTTCTCATGATTTATTCCTGTTCCTCTGACCCGTCTTGCTTCTCAGAGATCGCTTCGGTTTGCAGTCTTTACTCCCCCTTCTTCCTTGAAATATGTGCATTCGCTTCCTCCTAATTGTTTCTTTTGAAGTTCCTGCAGCTAGGGGCGCGGATAAGAGACAGCGTCCAGGAGCGCCAAAGTCCGCACAAGGGCTTTCTGCCTAGTGCCCCCACCCCCTCAAATTCGGGGGTGGTATAGGGCACAGCAGGCAAGGGCAGTCCCCCCCACACACGCTTGGGGGGGCAGGAGGCTGTTTACTCCCATCACAGCCTCTTAATTACCTCGTGTGGGTTGGAGAGATGTTATTGTCAGCCATCTTCCGATGCGCCCCTAGTGGCCCCTCCGGTCCCAGTGGTATCCTTGATCCAAGTTGTAAAGGGCCTTGTAAATTAATACAAGAACCTTGAACCTGGCCCAACAGCACCATCCAAGTTGGTGGCCATTACTGCCTCTTGTGGGAGAGAGTTCCAAAGTTTAACCATGCGCTGTATGGTACCTTCTTTTTGTTTTCTGTCCCAAGCCATTTTCTTGGTGTTGCAAAGCTGGCTCTGATTTGTCCTTCTAGTTGGCTGATATGTAAAGAAAAAAAATAGCCTTTTAAGGTGCTTCAGAGCAGCTCCACAACTGTGTGGTAAAATAATTTTGAAAATGCACCTAAGAAATGACTGTACATCATAACATGCAGTCCCTTCCTAGTGAATTGTACAGAATGTCCAACTTTTAGATTGTATCTGGACAATTGTGTTTTAGAGCAGCTTAATTGTTTTAATGGGCATGTTGCTGGTTTCTCTGCTGTTTCTTCTATTGGTACTATTTTATTGCTGTTCGCAATGCATACTATTATGTTGTAGGCCACCTTGCCAGGACATTGTCCTATATGGGGGCCTAGAAAATATTTTTGGGGAAAGGGGGCTAGTTCACATAAATGAGACCTCCACTCACCACTCAACAGCTAAGCAGTAATCTCAGTGGTTCTGCATGCACAATCCCATTTCAATTGCATGGAGGCCACTGTGTGTATGATTCAGCCTTCACCATTTGCACTGTGCTAATATTACATTCATTTCTCTAGCAGGACAGTCTCAAATATGTGTTCTCTCAAGGCCCCCCCCCCATGTTTGCACTCCTGTTTCAGTGGCATCTACACTGTCTTGGTCGTGTCCACAGAAAGGAAGATGGCAGAATTCCCAAGTATTTCTTTATGGCACCCCCCCCACACACACACATTGCAGCAGATTGATCTGTGGGGGAAAGGGAGTGCTTCATTTGAGTTGAGGCACATCAGAGCACACCAGAAGAACATGTTTACAATGGATGACTTGGTCCTGAAAATGTGAAGTCATAATCTTTGTCTGTACAGAGTACAACACACCAGTGAACCACCACCATTAGCCTCTCTTAGGTCTGAGATTAGGGAAAACTTTAGACATTGAAATTGGGGGAGGATGGGGAGTCAGTCTGTCAGTGTAATATCCTGACAGGCTTACATCCCAAACTTTTTAGTATAGAAATTCACTGACAAACTCACAAAAAAGCTAGGCAATAAAAGCAAATTGCTGAGCTATAACCAGTAACAAAATGGATCAAATTATCCCACCCCATACCTCACACGGTGGGCATTATTCCAATATACTGTAAATACTTCCTTACCCTCTCTGCAACTCAGAGCAAGTTCTTATCTCTCTTCCCAAGGCACTCCAGCTCATTTAAATAACATGGTCCAATTAAGGGTGTGAATGCAAAATGAAGAAAAAACCAGCTAAATAGTAATAATAGAAATAAGTTCACACTGTGTACACCATTGCTCTCTCGCTCTCTCTAGCAAGATCGCAAAGCAAATACTAAGCAAAACAAAAAAGAATGTAATAGCCAGTTGCATGTAAGTGTGTCCTTGAAGAAACAGCTCTGAACATGCTCAGAGCAGATGTATGATTCTGATAGCACTAACAGGTCTACCATGTCAGCACCCCTACTAATGTTATATGTTATAGTTGCTCTGCCATCATGACATTAGAAGGGAGGAAGAACCTGAAGAACTAGGGCTAATAAGTGTGCAGCTCCTGTAAAACATCATTTGACTGCATGGTTTTTTCTGTCTGGAGACCTATGCGCCATAACAATACTTTTGGATAGGCAATGGATAACTTGTGCAAAAAATTCCTAGGCCAGAGAACAGGTGATTGGCAGAAATATCAACAGGAGTCTATGTTCAAATGGGAAAATATATAAGTGTGACAAGAAATAATGTAAATTTGAGAACTTTTAGGAGGGGGATGTTTGAAATTTCACTTGATAGGCTAGTGCCCCACAGACCTTGTGGCTCAGCCTCCACTGATCAGACTCCCCATCCCTCTGCTCAACTCAGATTGTACAGATGGGCTTGATAAAGTATGTTAAAAGGAAACTAATCAGCTTGAAGTTGTATTGGTAGACTTGGTTATATTCATTGCACACGCAAACAAAAAAGGAGTGTAGCTTTTTATTGTGGGCTTTTTTTATTACCTTATAAACCAGACATAGACATGTTCCTGATACATCCAGTCTGTAAGAAAGGAAGAAATGGTGAGGAATGCCCTCTGTCCTATCTAAATGACGCACCTATTTATGTGAAACAGGACGTACTTTCAGCCAGGAGCCTAGTCATATACTAGAGTATATGATACCAGGAGCCCTGGCACAATACCTTTATCTTTTCTTTTAAATGGGATGAAAAAGAACAGGAAGGGTATCAATTCTTTTTAAAAAGAAGAGCAGAAGCCTCAGACTGGTACTCAAAATGATATACACAGATTGTCCAGAAATTGTCATGGGGTAAAGCAGAGGGGTAAGGATGCGGGTGGTGCTGTGGGTTAAACCACAGACCCTAGGGCTTGCCGATCAGAAGCTTGGTGGTTCAAATCCCCATGAGGGGGTGAGCTCCCTTTGCTCGATCCCTGCTCCTGCCAACCTAGCAGTTCAAAAGCACAAAGTGCAAGTAGATAAATAGGTACCACTCCGGCGGGAAGGTAAACGGCATTTCCATGCGCTGCTCTGTTTCACCAGAAGCGGCTTAGTCATGCTGGCCACATGACCCGGAAGCTGTACTCCAGCTCCCTCGGCCAATAAAGCGAGATAAGCGCCACAACCCCAGAGTCGTCTACGACTGGGCCTAATGGTCAGCGGTCCCTTTACCTTTAAAGCAGAGGGGTAGAAAGTTGGTTTTGAGTTGAAAAATGCCCCAAAGAGGCCCCCGCATAGGGGCAGAAGAGAAATCCAGTTCACTTTTAAAGGTGTTGTTGTTGTTTAGTCGTTTAGTCGTGTCCGACTCTTCGTGACCCCGTGGACCAGAGCACGCCAGGCACTTCTGTCTTCCACTGCCTCCCGCAGTTTAGTCAAACTCATGCTGGTAGCTTCAAGAACACTGTCCAACCATCTTGTCCTCTGTCGTCCCCTTCTCCTTGTGCCCTCCATCTTTCCCAACATCA